TCCTCTGAACCCCAGCCTCAGTCCTGCCTGGACAGCAAGCAGGAGTGGGCAGGGGGCACCGGAGATACCCACTCACCAAAAGTCCAGCGGGGTGGCATGGGGGCAGGTAGGGTGAGCCCACAGACCTCCACGCCAGGAGGGTCTGCCCCTCAGTGTCTCCGGCTGTAATTATGTCATTAAAAGACCAAGACTCTGAAGCCTGGAGAGAGGCCATGGCCCCACTGTGCTCAGACCAGGCCCAGGCCTGGGGACAAGTCATCTCAGAGGACAGAGGAGCCTTTATGGTGGGAGGGGGGACAGACCTGGTAATTAAAGGACTCACTGAAGGAATATGAATGCCCCTCCCTGAGCCAGCCGCTAGAAAGGCAGCTGGGCCTCCGCTGGGGCCATCCCTGGGCAGTTCGGGGAGCAGACGGGTCTGCAACCCACACTCATCCCTACCAATGCCCCTCCCACCCTGCCCTCCGCCCCGCAGGAACCTGGCCGGGAGCAGCCTCAGTGTCCCAGACCTGTCATGGCCAGTGGGAACCAAGGTCAGAGGGTCAGTGGGGTCCTGTCCTGATAGTAGGGCATCTGTCATTATAGTCAAAGCCACCCACTCCCTCCATTCAACCCACCAGGCCAGATCCACCCAGAGGCTGGTTCTCTGGAGATTTGGGGGCCATCCTCAAAGGAGGGATCTAGTGCAGCTAATGGGGTGTGTGCAGGAGCCCATGGCCACTCAGTCCACTTGGGCGGGGAACAGAGCAGAGTGGATCAAGGGCCTGGCGAGGCTCCCCCTGGGGAGGGGAGAACCAGGCCCCAGGCAAGCAGCAGTCACCAGGCCTGCCCTGGAGAGTGGCCAAGAGCAGCCTTCCTCCAGCCCGGGTCAGGCTCCCACCCTCAGGGGCGCGGGCAGCGAGGAGGGCCTGGGCCACTGCTTCCTCTCCGCTAATCAATATTCCCCTTTAGAAACAGTCACCCTTGCGCCGAGGCCGGGGGCTCCGGCCAGGCCTGGCCACCTCCTGCCTTCACTGCTCCCACTCCCAGGGACCCCCACCCACCGGCTTCCTGCTCAGGTGGGGAACCGAGGCTCCTTCAAAAGGCAGGACCCACCAGGGCACAAGTGGCCTTGGTGTTTAGGCTCCGGGTAGGATCACCCACGCCTCTCCTTGCCAGTGTGGGGTGGGCCTGGGGGGCAGGCCACACCCGGTCCCCAAGGGCACCTGCCAGGCCAGCCCCAGAGCAGCCCTCCTGCGTCCAGGTCTTTTCGACCCTCTGAGAGGAGGCTAAAGGTCCTGGGATTCCAGCTGAACCTTCTGCATCCCCGCCTCGCCCCCGGGGCCAACCTGGCTCCCCCACTCCTCTCGGCTCCTCGATCCCCTGTCTCCCATCTGGAAAGCCACTCCAACCCACCAGCCTCTCCCCAAACCTGCCCCAGCCCACAAGCACACCTCCTCCAGGAAGCCCTCCAGACTGTTGGCCCTGACCACTCACTGGTCCCGGGAGCCAGAGTCCCGGAACTGCCTCAGAGACCCACCCAACCTGCCCATGTCATGGGTGAGGAAACTGAGGCCCGGAGGGGAGCCAGAACCAAAGCTTCCCAGACCAAGAAGGTACCCAGAGGCAACCCAGGCCTCAGTTCTGTCTGCCCTTGCCCCCCGAGGTCAGGCCAGGCCAAGTCACGAGAGATGGCCAGGGGCAGCTGTGCCAGGATTCATCGCACAGGAGAGAGCCTATGTGCTCCCAAGCATAAGCTTTCTGTGCCTGTTTTTTCCTTAAAGCCTCCGCCCTCGGCCAGGAAGAGCACTCGCCCCAGCAGATTGGGGGGGTCGGGGGGGCACCTGCCAAGCTCCCTCGCGCAGCACGCAGGTGACCTGGCACACCCGTAGGATGAAGCCACGTTTTTGGCCTGTGGAAACCTTTCCTCATCGGTCTGATGAAACATATGCTCCAACAAGACCCTGGAGCCACCACAGGACAGGGTCCCCGGGGTCCACCTCCCTCCTCCGCCGACCCCCAGGGCAGAGAGGCCAGTGGTCCTGGGTGTCCAGGCCCCGGCCACCCGAGGGAGAGGCCACATGGGAGCTGCACGGGCGGAGGCTCAGGCAGGCGGTGCCCGCGGTTACCCCAGAACAAAGGCAGGTCGCCAGCCACCATCCCTCCCGACAGTGCATACCCAGCCCAGGTCCTTGGGGAAAGCAGGCCCCCCTCCCCCAGGGGCTCTGGGCCTCCCCCGCCAGACGCCTGGAACCTGCACAAAACCGCTATGTCACCCCACTTAAAGGGCAACGGGTGCAGCCGTCACCCTGGGCCCCACAGGCGCATCTGGAAGACCCGAAGCCCACCCTGGACCAGAGCTGCCTGCGCCTGGCTGGCACCGGGCTGGGTGGGGTGCAGGGCTGGGCAGTGGGCTCACCCAGGGCACCTCCGCCCTCAAGCCGCCCACACAGGCCCCTTTGTGCTCCTGCAGGAAGCCTTCCGCTGGGAGGTGGAACGAAGCCCTGAGCCCGGAGCCCCAGCGGGCAGGCGGGGAGGGGGGGCGCGGGCCGGCTCTTCCTGGGCTCCCGCCTCTGCTCACCACCCTCGGCCAGCAGAGTCCCTCTCCCCTCCCCCTCTCTTTTGTTCAAATGAAAGAATTGGGGGAACAAGAAGAAATATGGTTTTTATTTTCAAAACTGGAATCAATTATAATTGGGGGTTAGTTCTGGAGAGCAGGTCTGCGAGCCTGCACAGAGGAGGGGCCGGGAGGCACTGCTGGGGGTGTGGGCCAGGGCACTGAGGAGAGGAAGGGGCTGCCCTGCCAAGGCATGACCCCCACCCC